CAGGAGCGAAGGCCAAGGTGGCCTTCACCCTGTACCCTACAGAGGGCCCTGGCCTGTCTCCAGAGGAGGTCCTGTGCCTTCAGCCACTGGCCGGCACCAGGGCTCCAGCCCAGGCCCAGCATGCCCAGCCTCCCTGCCCGGCCCTGGCCAGTCTGGCCCAGACAGCCCAAGGCGTCCACTAGGCCAGGCCTTAGGCAGGATCAAGGCTGGGCAGGTTCGGCAAAAATTTCCCTTGAAAGACTCTTTTTCAAGATTTTCTTTTGAAAACAAATTCATAACCACATCAAACAGGATCCCTTGCTCGGGTTTGGTCACCAGCCGCCCGGGGCTCTCTAACTAGCTGTTATTCTAATTGCCTTTTTCTCTTCCGAGGGCTGCATACGTCGTCTGACGGTTATTAATTTGGTGAGTTGAGGCGGGGCACAAAGGAGCTTTTGTTTCTTTTGCGCTTTTAATCTCTATCAAATTGCAAATAATGGCAAGATCCAAGATCCCCAAAACTGATCTGTCCCAGAGGCTCCTGGGGAATGTCGCCCCGGTGCCTGGACCCCTGCGGCTAGGGTCTGGCCAGGGCCACTCTGGGGTGGTTGAGGCCCTCTCTGGGCTCCCCAGTACCACAGCTACCACATATCTAAGCCCGAAGGAGGCACCTGCACTTAGAGCTGTGAGGGGAGAAGACCAGGCAAGGCCACATCAGGTGCGGCTCCATGAGAAGTGCTGTTGCTGGGGCTGAGCTCCAGAGCAGGGGGCCAGCAGGGCTGCCCACAGCCCAGGGCAAGGAGGCCCCACGACAGGCTGCTCAAGGAGCCCTGGCGAGCAGGAGACAAGACCCAGGAGAGCAGCCTGTATGCTCCTGCATGCACCTTCTCCCTGCATGTGACCCCCCAAGCGAGGGTCACTCGCTTTCCAGGCGAGGAAACTGAGATCCCAACAAAGGATGCAAATTGCCAGGTCTCTGCACCCAGACCAGCCCGACCACAGCTCAGCCCCCACCATGGGCAATCAGACAGCCAGCGGAGGACAGAGGCCCAAGGTGTGCTGGGCAGAGGGCACGACAGGGCCCTGGGGTCTGTGTGGGGCCGGGCAAACTCAGAAGCCAGACCCAGTGGGTGAGTGGTTCAGCCACCAAGCCCAAGGATGAAGGGCATAGCTCAGGGTAAGGGGTGTCCACACTGGCCTGGCCCTGGCCCTGGCCCAGAGGGCTCCCTAGGGCTCGACCCGCCCACTCTTCTCCACTCCTTGCCACACTGGGCACCTGACAGGGCAGGCGACTGACAGGAGCTCTGCCTATCAAAATTGGTAGGCATCCAGAAGGACCCTGCAACTGACCAGATGGACCCAGGAGGACTCCACAGGCATGTGGAGGGACCCTGCAGGCAGCCAGAAGAATCTGGGAGGACCCCCTGGGGGACCAGGAGGACTCTGCAGATGATCAGGAGCACTCAGGCAGCCCCCAACAGGTGGCCTGGAGGCTCTGGAGGGGACCCATTTGGCCAGAGGACCCCCACCACGTGATTTCCTTCCTGGCCTCCCAGACCCGCCCCTACCTTGGGTGAGGAGGGGATGGTGGCTTTTGGCCCCAGACTTTGGGATTCCAGTTCTGGGATTCAGCCCATGTCCTAGTTCACCCCCGGCCCTCTGCCTCCTACGGCCTCGCTAATAGGAGCATGGCCCTGGGATCAGAGACCCCGATAAGCCCGTCAAAGCCCCAGCAGCCAATGGGGCCAAGGTGAACTTGGGAACTGGGTAGAGCAGGGCAGAGGTTGGTGCTGGCCCGGGCAGCCTCAGGGACACCCTTCGGTGGCACTCGGAGGTGAGTTGGCATCCCCAGGCAGGAGGCTGAGGGCGTCTCTACAAGGTGCTAGGGCTCCCTGCCAGGAGTGGGGAGGCGGCGGCCACCCCGGGTGGCTGAGGACCAAGCCAGCAGACACGCCCAGCAGCCTCCACACCCTGCCTACAACCCAGCCACCAAGAACACCCTATAAAGGCCTCCATACCCATTAGCACATGTGGGGCTTCGACAGATGTTCAAGTACCGTAAAGTGAAAATTTATGAAACCACAAATTTTCTTCTGTGATGTATTTGGTGCTTTAATTGATGCCAAACCAGTCAATACCCAAGCTGGGCCTGCACAGTTAAAGTGACGTTAGACCACGCGGATACCAGCCTCGTTCAGCGCTGCTGGCCTGTAGATCCAGCAGGTGAATCTAGGCTTTGCCACCAAAGAGCAGCTTCCATCTGCTAGGCACCTGGGGCTCAGTTTCCCCATGTGGACCCTGAAGCCTGGGTGACCTCCACAGCCTTCCCAGGAAACAAGCCGCTGGTGGGACTGCAGGGGGTGGTCCTACCAGCTTCAGGAGCCACAGGGGTCTGGTGCGTAGGTGAACGAGAGGGACTGGTCTGTCTTTCCTCAGGCTGGTCCTCCTTCCACATGACCCTGCCTCACCCACTGTCGAGCATCCATCCCTCTTCTGAGCCAGTTCCGACCCTCTGCTCTCTCCAGCAACCCCGTCCCTCGAGTGCCCTCCCTACCCAACAACACAACCACCATGTCTTCTCGTCACAGCAGCCCCTGGTATGGAGCTGTGGGGTGAGAGCTTAGGCAGGATGGGGGCCACAGTGGTCCCAGCTGGACAGACCCCTCTCCTCCTGGGCCTCAGTGTCCACGTCTATAGCATGGGGTAGAGGTCTCTATGGGTGGTCCCTAAATGGCTTGGCAAAGAACTAAGGTGTTGGCAGGCACCTGGGCAAGGGGCGCTGGGAGAGTGGTCCTGGGCCCCCACCCCGGCCAAAGCACAGAAGCCATGCACCCCTTTCCTTTATAGCCTGGGCTTCCACATCAGATTTGTCTGGGAAAAATAAGACTAGGCTCCCTCTGGTCTGGGCGATCAGACCTCAGACATTCAGCTGTCCCTGGGCCCGAGGCAGGTAGGTCTCGACTCAGCTCACCACGACTGCAGCCACTGCCACTCGAGATTGGGGAGGTGGGTCCCCTGGGTGTCCTCCCCCCCACCCCACAGTAGAGGGTGCCCACCTAGCCCTGCCGGGCTGCTGGGACTGGCATTCTGGCCCTCACTGAGGAGAGACCCCTCCTCTCAGCCCCTCTGTTGGCCCTGCCCAGCCACCTCTCCCCTCCTGTTCACGCAGCATCCATGGCAAGAGGGAGCACTGGTGACCGCAGCTCCCACCTTTGGGAGCAGGGCCTGGACCTTTCCCGGAACCTGGCAAACTGGCAAACAGGGGCTCAGCCTCCAGCCGCGTGGGGTTTGTACACGCTTCACCCAGCAGCCCTCCCACCCTCACGGTCCAGCTCTGGGTCCAGCCCCAGCCCCCGCCCCCCTGTCCCCAGCCCATCCAGCCAGGTGGGCAGAGGGGGGCCCAGGGGACAGGCCTGCTGGGGTAGCCTGCGGCTCACACGTAGTCCAGGGATGATGGCCTGCTGCACGTCCTTGGAGCCAGAGACACCCAGTCCTCAGGCCCCAGTGGTTGACATTTGGCTGAGTCATCTTTGTGGCTTTTACCCGAAGCCACACTTTTCCCTGAAGCAGTGCTGCTGTTCTGCCTTAATCGTGCTGATCTGCTGATCCCCACAGACTCCTCCGCCTCCCCTACCATTTCTGGTCTTTCCAGTGCTGCAGACACCTGTGATGGGGGAGGGGAGGGGCCCACTCTGTCCTCTTACAGAGCACCCCAGGGCACCAATCCCACCATGGCTGCCATCTGAGCTTTGCATCCTCCCCAGACCCTCAATGGTGCCAGGACCCCCCAGGTCTGCAGCTCACTGGCTGGGCACCTGCTTCTGACTCACCCTCCTAGGGGAGGGGCCCCCAGCCTGGACTCCCTCACCTGCCCTCCTCCTGCCCCTGAGCCCTTCTGACTCCCTGTTGGGGCTGGCCAGCCACTTCCCACCCCCAGGACTGGGATTCAGCCCCCTGCCCCAACTGTGCTGTCCTTCCAAGGAGTTTTCAGGTCACCTGGCTCGGGGGCTTCTCTGTTGACCTCACAGCCATCGTGTGGCCCCTGTTGAGACCTACTCTGTACCGCGTGCATCTCGGGTCCTGTCCTGCCTCTAATTCCCCTCTGGCTTCACAGAGCTGCCACCCCAGCACTTAGCATATAACAGGCCATGTGGCTGGCCAGAGAGAGGTATTGGGGCACTGACCTGCCCTGTGGGGGGTGTGGAAAGATGGTGCTGTCCCTGCTGAAGGACAACAGAAAGGACCTCGAAGAACAAGCCCTGGATGGGGGCAGAAGAGAGGCCCCAACCCGCAAGCCCCTCCTGCAGTGACCCAGAAGGGTCCCCCCTTGCCCACCCAGACAGGGCCCCCCCTCTGGCCCCTGACCCCTCTCAGGCACCTGTCAGTCAGCCGCCCCTTCGCCACTATTGTGTGCCAGCCTGCTGGCCTCTACCCCTCTGTTTTAACTCTCCTCCAGGCTGAGCAGACACAGCTCCCAGCCTCCCTTGATCCCCCACCCCAAGGGCCCCCAAGCCTGGCCCCAAGAAGTTAAAGCCTATAGCAAAGCCAAATACTTCAAGGCTCAGTCCCTGGTGTAGACCCAGCCATGCCTGGATGCCACCCAGAGGACCTGGCCAGAGGCTTCATGGGCCAGCAAGCCCCAGGGGGGACCGAGGAGCTAACTCAGCCACCAGACCTGGGGGTGAGGGCCAAGGAGTAGGAGAGGTGAGCTCCTCCCACCCCACCCCCTCGCTGAGGCTGTCCCTGTGCAGGCACACACAGGGACTCACAGCCTGTGGGCCCTGGACCCCAGGGGGCACACACATGTACATTCCATACGCACACACAGGCGTGAGTGAGGGCCGCGCACACACACGCGGGTGCACACGTGCGTGCTGCCCTGCACACAGCATGAGTCTGCAGAGTCACCTGGCACCCCTGCCTGCCCCGGGCCGCATCGAGCCCAGGGCTGTCTGCGCACCTGGGCTTCCTCCCACCTCCAGACCCACGCTCGCCGCTCACGTCCGCTTTTGTCCCTGCAGGTGATGCAGCTGGACCAGAGGCTGGTGGTCATCACGGACCTGCTGCACCAGCTGCTCTCCTTGCACCGTGGCAGCCCCCCGGGCGGCGGTCCCCCCAGCGGGGGCGGGGCCCAGGTGGTCCAGCCCTGCAGCGGAGGCAGCTCCATCAACCCCGAGCTCTTCCTGCCCAGCAACTCCCTGCCCACCTACGAACAGCTGACAGTGCCCGGAAGGGGTCCCGACGAGGGGTCCTGATGGGGGCTTGGGGCAGGGGGGCATCCTGAGAGGGGAGGCCCAGAGTAGCTCCTCCCAGCTTGCCCCACCTCCCTCTCGGCAAGGGGCACCCACCTGGTCACGAAAGCCCAAGAGAACAGCCCCATGCTCCAAGGCCCAGGACAGCCAGTGGCCACGCCACCCGGCGGAGCCTGACCCTGGGGGTTCACCAAGGCCACCCCTTCCAGGTCAGTGGGCACTAGAACTTCGCTCGGTGTGGGGCCCCTCTCAGGAATGAACCATCAACCCTGAGCTCTAGCCCCCCCATCCTGATGACAACATCGCTTGCATGGTGGCTGGGACACAGGTGTGGGGGGTCAGGCTGGCCTCCCTAGGGCCACATTTAGTGGCATGGGCCTGGCCCGTGTATGGCCAGGAAGCAGCACAGGCCGGGCGCAGGCCCACCCTGATTGGCCCAGGGGGCTTCCTGAGGGGAGACAAAGGAACAGCCTGGACAAGAGCCATGGGTAGCCTGACCCCCAGCCTCAAATCCAGGACCCACAGGGAGCAGGCAGGGCAGGGCAGGCCCAGCCCTTGCTGACTAGAGGACAGCCCGTGACAAAGGCCTGCCAGGGCTCTGGGCTGGGTTTTCTCACTCCCAAGAGATGCTGCCCATGAACAGGGGCCTGGGACAGACACACCTGAGACCACAGCTTCCCTACGTGCCTCACTGAGAGGGGAGGGAACCCACCTCCCTGCTGTGGGCCGGCAGCTTCTCGTACCCATTCTGGAGAGGAGGGTCCCCAAACCCTGCTCTGCACAGCCCCCGCCTCCAACTCCTTGCCCGGCCTGAGCAGCTGTACAGATGCACACAAGGGGACTGTCACATGCCTTCGGCCAGCTGCTGAGCCGCAGAGGAGCCACATTTCTACACAGGACAGGGGTTGCTTCTGGGCATTATGTCTTCTAGATATCAGAATAATTTGTGGTGATTTGGAATCTGTGTTTTAATGAGTTTCACGGTGTGATTTTGATTCTTAATTGCGCAGGCTTTTCCTAATAAACGTGGAGAATCACAGGCTCGCCTCGATTCCTGGGGATTCCGTTGGCTCTTTAGACAACCCGGGGTTGCCTTGGCCCTCCCCTGCCCTCCTCCCACGGCTGCCCGCAAGCATCTGGGCTCCCTTCCCCCACAGGCCCTGCGCAGAGCCTGGGGAAGGCAGCGGACCCTCACCCTCAAGGCCTCCCTCTCGGACAGGACCCCCGCAGGTCCCCTGGAGGCAGGTGCCAGGGGACCACTGAGCAGAAACGGCATGTCCAGCACAGAGGAGCAGGCAGGGTTCAAGGAGCTCAACAGGGCTGCAAGATGCCATCAAAGGCTCCTGCCCAGCTCCGTGTTCCTTGAGTCTTCCTGGGGCTTCCCCTGGGGTTGCCCTAGCCACACGGTGTGGTCACACTGTGGTTGCTGCCTGTCTCCCAGGAGACCCTGAGGCCCTCGGCAGGAGGGCTTGTCCCTGTGGGGTTGCGGTGCTGGGGCAGCTGTGCTGTGCTCCTGGGCATCCAGCTTCAGGGATGCACTCGGGCCCCTCCACTGCCTCCCCAGGCCAAGCTGGCCTCAACAGAGGACCCACGAGGCCCACCATAGGAGCAGGGCCCGTCCAGGCCCACCCTGCCCATCCCAAGCACTAGACTCCTGAGGGGTGGGTGCAAGGAGGGGCCCAGGGCTCCTGGGGTCCTCACATACTCACACCTGCCCACCTTGAGGCCCCAATTTCCCCCAGGAGTAACGATGCTCCCTCGGCCTGTCCTAACCCTGTGCCCATGGCTCTCTGCGTGGCCCTCCCATCCTGCGAGTGGAAACGGTGCCAGTGCCAGAGCACAGGCGCAGACCCGCTCAGCTGGGGGGAGGCATGTGCTCCCTGTACCTGCACACCCCAAAGATTTTTGATCATTTCTCAACCCTTTGAGGCAACGTCCCCCTCCTGTCCTCCTTCCAGACCCCACCAGGAAATCCCAAGCTGCCAGGGCTGGGGGCACCTGAGATTTCAGGGGAGGGGCTGTCGCACGTCCACTGGAGGGGACAGAAGATCCATGTTCCTGTGTGGAGTGCTGGCTGAGGATCCTGTCAGAGGACAAGGCTGTGGGTCCCCCTTCCCGCTGAGCCCTGCTGAGCCTGTACCTCCCAGGGGCCCCGGGGAGCCCAGCCCTGTCTCCCACCCACGGGATCCTGGTGTCTGGCTGGACCAGCACTGACCAGTGCGGGGCAGGGGCGAGGGGCCTCCCGGTTCCGGCCTGCACCCACACCCACACCCACACCCACGCCCACGGGGGAGGGGGCGGGGCGCGGGAGGGGCCGGGAGGCGCAGGAGCCACAATCACTGAAAGGCAGGAGCTGTTGTTTCCTGGTTGGGTAAATATTTGTGGAAATCCGGGGATGGAAGGCAGAGCCCTCCACAGCGCGCAGGCCCCTGCCGCCGCCTGGGACCCCTGCCCACAGCCCGCGGGGAGCTGGGGTGGGGCGGCCCGTCTGGGCAGGGCACGGTCCCTGCACCCAGCCGCTCTGGTGCGCGGATTATCGACAGCACACAAAGTGCCCGAGTGCTTCACTCCGGACGGGCCATTGCAGCCCTCTCGGGTGTGAAATGCAATTTACCTGAAATAAAGCCCAATTATGGAATTAGCTAATTAAAGCTGCGGTGGAGGCTGGGCCCGGCCGGCCGGACGCTCAGTGCCTGCCCAGTGCCCATGGTCTAAGGGAACAGATGGCGCCCCGGCCCGCGGCGCCGGCCACATTCCTTCACTCTGTCCCCCGATAAGTGACCTAGACAGCACACGACCATCTGGTGTGTGACACGTCCTGTGGGCCCCGGACAATGGCCCGGCAGACCTCTCCGTGAGAGGGCCGTCGCCTGGGCAACGGTGGCATGTGCAGCCCAGGCCCATTCCCGGCCCCTCCCTCGGCGCCTTTCTTTGGGCCCTTTGTGGGCCTCGCCTCGGCTGCCTGGCGGCTCGGGGCTGACAATATCCCTGAGTGCTTGTCCGCAGAGCCGGCCTTTGTCTCCAAATTGGGCTCCCTTAGTGAGGTCCTCAGTGGCCAGTGGGTGCCAGGAGCATCTGCTGGGGGTGGCCGGATGAGGGGGCTGCTCCTGCTTCCTGGGGCACCCACCTCCTCTGCCCAGGTTCCCCTCCCCCACCCACCCGAGATGGCATCTCACAGGCACTGGGCTTGGCGTGGGGCAGCCAGTCTCTGGGGCTGGCATCCGCCAAACCTGCCAGGGGGCCAGGAGGAGGAGACATGGGTGGGGCAGGCCTGCGGCCCTTTAGCCTCCCACCCCTCCCCTGGCTGTGAAAGCGGACAGGAGAAGTGCCCCCTTGAAGGAGCCGCAGGGAGGGGCTTTGATGGAAATAAGGTATATAAGCTCTGGACCTAGGCATACAGTGGGTGCTTAATAAAGGCAGCCAGACAACTTGGGTAGGTGATGCTGGGCTCTACCTCCTCGCTGTGCCCCTGCCTGGCCTGCTTAGCCCCTTGGAGCTCCTTCCCGGCCCCTCCTGCATCCAGCCTCACCCCCTCGGAGCCAGAGCAAGCTGTCCAAACCCAAGCTGGCTGCTCCCTGGCCTGCTCTGAGCTGGCTCTGGCTCCCCACTGCCAAGCCGGCCTGTGAGGCCCTATGCCCGCCGAGGGCACCTCTCGCCATGAGCCCAGCTGCTCCAGCCAAGCGACCCCCTCCCCCCAGCTTCTTCCTGCACCCTGTCCCCAAGCTTCCAGCAGGCACAGCACCCCTCCCCACTCAGAACCTCCTCTGAACATCATCTTGGCAGGCAGCCCCCACGGTGGGGGTGGGGAAGTGATCCAGAGCCGTGCCCACCACCCACCACTGGAGGACGGACTGTGCTGACATTTTGGGGTCCCAAGAGGAGGCTGAAGCCTGGCCCCAGCTGGATGCTCAAAGTGCCAGTCAAATTAAGGAGTAAAATGAGGGTTTGGAAAGAGGCTACTGGCACTGCTCAGGCCACAGAAGTGCCTGGACCCAGGCAGGGCACACCAGGTGGTGCCATGTGATGGATACCCGTGGGAGGGGGGCTGCACCCTCTGCCCCTGAAGGAGGGGATCAGGCCGGGTGCTTTGACCTGGGGCAGCCTGACAGCGGCAGCTGGGGGGATGACGAAAGGCAGGCGAAGGCTCCCGGTGACACCCCACACAGCCCAAAGCCAGCAGCCATCGTGGGAGTCTGCTCCTGCAGGACCGGGACCTCCCCCACTAATGGGCAGCAAGTCCCCATTTGGAGGACCCTTTCTAGCTGAGCTGAAACCTGCCTTTCCCTCACTCCTGGCCTCATCCTAGTATGGCCTGCTGGGCCTTGGGATCCCGGTGGCTCACTGGGGATCTCCTAGGTGACTCCGCGTCACTGTTCTCAGCCCCCAGTGGCATCCTCCATCCCTCTCTTGCCCCTGCCTCTATTCTTGTGGCCCGGGGGTCCAGTGAGTTGGGGAGATGGGGCCTGTGGCCTGAGCTTTGGTGTCGCCACTCGTTCTGTCCCTCAGCCACTGTGGGTCCCCCCTCTCCCCCCGGTCAGCCAGGGCAGCTGGGCCTAGAGCATGGGGCAGCCAGAGCAGAACAAAACAGAGCTTCAGTCTCCAGCGACCTCTGCGTGCAGAGGGCAAGGGGCCAGGCCTCTGGAAGCTGACTGCTCCCACCCGGGCCCTCTCCTGCTCTGTCACGCAGTGGAGCCTCGGCAGGCAAGCCCAGTGCCTGCAGCCAGGTGGCACACCGGCCCATGGGGAGGCCACCTCTGACCTCACCAGCCAGCTGCTGCTATCTCACCTGCTGGGGACGGGGATTGCCTCTGGCTCCCACGAACCAGGCCCTTGACAGTGGCCAGCAACACTCACCTAAGAAGGGTCTTTCCTAAAGATGGGCTCCTGGCCAGTCGAGGGGTGGGGGCTGCCACCCCTATCCCAAGGCCTATGAGGCCAGGGTACGGGCCCCTCCCCACCCAGACCCAAGCCCTGGATGTGTGTCAGGGAGAGAGGGATCCACTCTGGGCCCCAGATCCTTCTCTCAGCAGGTACTCTGGGCCCGATTCTGTCACTTGGCCCTCCTCACAGCATCCCTGTAAGGCACCTCGGGTGTTTCCCTGCAACCCCACCCCTCCTGCAGCCCCCGCAACCCAAGGTGCCTGAGTGAGGTGGGAGGTAGAGGAGGTGGGGAGTCTGGCCCGGGTGGCCCTACAGGACCCAGTGAACACTCAGACCCCAACCACGAGCCTTCACCCCAGCACCCACCTATGCCACCCAGAGGGGACGGGTCTGCCCTTAATCCCCAGAGTGAAGCCCATCCCCACACATCACCCGTCCCCAGGCTTGGGTTTCACACATGTCGGGCAGTGACTCCTCAGGCAGAGAAGACACGAGCCATCCCGGACACGGCCGAGGACAGGGACAGAGGACAGAGTCCATCCTGGTGCCCTCGGGGACCTTGCACACCTGTTCCTTCTGCTTCCTGGGGTGGGCCCAGATTGCAGGGGGTGGGGGTGTTGAGACCAAGTAGAGAGCTTGTCACTTAGGCGCTGCAGTGACTCCCACCCGCCCACAACTCTGGAGCCCCGCACCTACCCCTCTCTCTACCCAGCCCCTCTACACCTCGCTCGGTGGAATTCTACAAGTTTCCAGCCCGCAGGAAGCACACAGTCTTTCCAAGTCATCTCAGCAGAGCAGCGTCAAACCAGAGACACGGCCACGTGGGACCAGTCGCGTGGCAGCCTCATCCTCCTGCCACCTGCACCCTGGGAAGCCGGTGACAGCAGCAAAATAAGGGTGAGGTGGTGGCTGGGGGTGCTTGAGTGGGGAAGGGACTCGGACTGAGGGAGATGCTCAGAGCAAAACGGCTCAGAACAGACGGATCCTCCCCGCCCGGTGCAGATGGGGAAACCAAGGCTCAGGGCAGGCCTGGGCCCAGCACAACACTTGTTTGTGTGACTTTGCATCGGAAGAGCCTCAGCGAAGAAATGGGCTGGCCCTTTAGCTCAGCTGGTCAGCACACGGCGTTATAACACCAAGATCTAGGGTTCAAATCCC